TTCGCTGTCCGAGTGAGCCATGGTTTCAGGAGAGCATTAGATAAGGGAACTAGCTACTCCACTTATTTCTTCTTCTCAGCCTGCTGGTTCACTCCAGCAGGTCCCTTAATAAGGCGAATATTGACAGTGGCTCAGATTGGGATAGGGTCCAGGGAACCTAAGGATACATGGGGGTTAGCCCTCTAATAAGGATTATAGTATTTTGGTGTCTATGTTGTGGTTCCCTCATCTAGGGAAACGACCGGAAAAGGCGAAACGGCACATAGTCACATAACTGCATCTAGCCAACTTCATGTGGATGGTCTTCATGTCAAGGTTATCGGCTCTTTGCATGCATGACATACCTCTATACAGAGCTCGCGGCCACAGGTATCCCCTGCAATGCCAGCCCTCCAAACTTTCTGCCTGGTGCACGGCGCTCGGGAAGCGCTGGAGGTCCAGTCAAGGCCTGCATATACCTCAGCCAGGGTATTCATGGTACTTCAGAACTAGAAATGAGATTTGAGGGCCCTGTGTTCAAGATCAAACTTTCGAGTCTTATAGTGATGATCTGGCAGTTTGATTTGTGACTTGACCATGTGAGCTGTAGTCTAAACTCCTAGCATCCCTCTCCATAACCCCTATAATACTTTTCACTTAGCCTCCTATATAACCCTCTTTAAGGAGTTTAGACCATAGCTCATATGGTCCGGGCTGTGCGCCTTTAGGGCCGAGGCCCTAAGGTTTGCCAAGCAACAAGTGGTGGCTTGCTCTGGAAACCCTCAAGCCCGGCTTCATTGCTGTAACAGGTCATTACTATTATTACTACTAGTGCCACTAGTTTTACTGTGTACTATTACTATTCATTATTATTGCTGCTAATTATTACTATTATCCCAGAATAATGGAGAATCAAATGGAAAGGAGAATCAACAAGGAAATGGAAACTGTGATTATATAGTGAGTTTAGGGTTTACTGTCTTCTCAGGGGGTTTTCGAGCAAAATTGCCGGGCTGTGTTGCAGCTAATGGCTCTTCGGTTAAGACTAAACACTAACCCTATATAACCCCCATAATCCCTGTAGTTTCCATTTTCTTTTCCATTATCCCTATATAACCCCTATAAACCCTGTAGTTTCCATTTTCTTTTCCATTCTCCCTGGGTAAGAGTCGCACGCAGGCTCCGGACCATCTCTGTCACAAGGGACAGCGACATCACGAGGCTGTGGGGCCTCGAGTGTGCAATCAGCAAAGCAGTGGTTGTCAAAATTACGGTCCCCTTTTTAGATCCCTATTCTAATACGGCACCTAATATTTAGGGTACCCAAAAAGGGGCCATAATTTTGACAACCACCCAAGCACAGCTTTGCAAAGTGAGGCCCCTGACCTTACGGCCCATGGCCTGAAACATGTCCCGCCCAGCGTCCTCCACGGGGGGAGTGTGGCGAGCTGCCTCCAAAAAGCAGCGCATCGCTCGATTCAAAGGCTGTCAGGGTTGGCCTGCAGCCGTTGAGCGACCCCTGGAAGGGGAGCTGGACCATCTGATCCTGTGAGACCTGGAAGGCATATGTTAGCTTTCTGCTTCTTCTCGGGCATCTCAGAACATCAGCAGGACATTGGACAGAGGCAGACTTGCCTGTGCAGAGTTGCAGAGTTGCAAGTAATCTTGCTGGCCACAGCTTATCCTAACGGGGATGTCATAGGGATACTATAACCGTGCTAATATCGGAATATTATAGTGGGGAGTCAGGGAATTTCATTCCTATCTGACTGGCCACGTGTTATCCATTTATATACCATATAAATGTAGTACTTTCCGTTTTCCTTTCTATTTTCTCTATATGGTCCCTACATAATAACCCCGGTTCATTAGGTTATCCACTGCGCTGTCATACCCCTCAGCCCCTAAACCCTAAACCCAGTCGATATCTGTCTGTTGCCTCTTCTGGGCGCAGCTGGGTGCATGCCAGAAGTCGACTCCTCGCACTTGGCTGAAAATAGTAATAACATGAATGTGAATGAGAATACTTATGCAAACAATACTAGAGTAGTAATAGTCACAATAAAAGTCCTAATGAACATACTCGTGAGTGATTCTAGTAATAACACTAATTAAATATGATTACTAACAGCAATTATAGCGATCATCATAACAATAATAATCCAGATCTTTGGAGCCAACTCGGTGCACACTTCTCTGGACTCTCCATGTCCTGCCAGCTGGGAGGGCGACAGGCAGCCGCTCCCTCTGCAAGGAGTCAAGGCAAACAGTGCTCAGGTTGAAGCCATGGGCTCCTACGGTGGATACTAAAAATCATGCATGACCCTAAGTACCTTATACCCTGGGAATAATGGTACTATAGAATATTAAGGTCATGCAGGATTTTTAGTATCAACCGTAGTGTGTGTGGGCCCTTAACCCTGGGATCGTTATATGTACCCTTTATGTACACCTAAGGGTCCTTTCAAAAATAGTTCTGCAAACTTGGCTCCAGAGATCTACATTATGCTATTATGATTATCTCCTTGTTCTTATCATATGAGCCATTGTCTAAACTCCTCGTATCCCCCTTAATAACCCTTATAGTAGTCCCTATATAATCCCCTATATATCCCCCTTTAAGGAGTTTAGACTATAGCTCATATTACAAATA